GGGACTCAGGCTTTTCAAAAACGAACGAACAAGAAAATTGTCATAGAGGAACAGTCCAGTGTCTCAGTTGTTACAGTAGGTCTACACCGGGAGCGAGATATCGATACATCGAACAAACTCTAGGAAATAACCGGTCTCACTTCACACTTTTGGGTAAAAAAGGAATCGATAAAGCCATTTCAGCTGTTTTCCCAGAAAATACATTTTTTGAAACCGAAAGTATGCAAACGCGAAATATTTCTTTTGATTGGTCCAATCAAACGATTAATATCCTCTGTGCACACTCTCAGCCTCATTTAGGGGTCTACAAAGTTGGAGTTATTTTGGGGAGAAACAGTTGAGATGGACGTATTTCTACCAAACAGAGCTATGTACAGGCGGGAAAGATGGGGTGTGCTCGTTAGTCGAGGGCCGTAAGAATGAATTGGAATTATAAAGCGCCAGTGACGTCAGCGGCGAAGAAGCCGGCAAGGTTATCAATGGTCGCGGTTACTAACTCATGAGCCCTGTTCACAAGGCTCTTGACCCACGCCCACGGCTCACGAGTCCCGCATACAGTAGCCACAAAATTCCGCTTGACAGAGTGTAAAATCCCGCTTTTCCAATTCAGCAAACGGAACTATGTATGCGGGACTCGTGAGCCGTGGGCATGGTATAAAAGCCTTGTGGGCAGGGCTCATGAGTTAGTAACCGCGACGAACGATAACGACGTCAACTTCTTCGCCACCGACGGCAACGGCGCACAGAGGATCGAGTCAATAGGAGAGCTCGGACAAAATTTGAAAACTTCAAACGCGTATAACTCCGTTCGTACAAAATTTCGAGGTTCTGAAAGTGGTTCCATTGATTTCCTCGAGAAATTGTCTTCAAATGGACCACTAGACAAGGTACGAATTTCAGCATTCTGATACATGTTTCTTAACCAAAATTTTACGTAAAACACGATGCACACAACGAAAATTACCGAAATTAACTCCTTACGAAGATATTTAATGATTCTTAATGCGTGAATTCAAACCACCCGCTCCTGAAAACTGAATGCTCTACGTGATTCACATCGCGCGCTAAACGTTATCATGACAGTCTCTGCGATATAAAAATCTGGCAACCTCAATCCTGACGCTTTGGCTCAGTTATAGCAAATTGCTAAAAGTTTGAACAACACATGATGGGAAATGAACATTGCTCGATTGAGAAGCTTGCTGAAACCGGTGTAGTGCGCGATTTGACTCACGTAGAGCTTTGAGTTTCTTGTGAGCGGGCAGTTCAAATTCCTCGTACCCAATGTGAAATAAAAATGTTAATATCTCAGTTAGGAGTTGGTTTCAGTAATTTTCGTTGCGCGAATCGTGTTTTACGTGAAATTCTAGTTAAGAAACATGTATCAGAATGCTTAAATTCGTACCTTGTCTAGTGGTCCATTGTACCCCTTGAACTTTAAAATGTGACGGAATATACATCAAAATTTGCAGTTTAAGTTAAAAATTTCATGTCCGACCTCTCTGATTGACTAGATCCACTGTGCGGCGCTTCACAATACCCATCCATCCTTACGAATCTCGACTAACGAGCACGCCATATCTTTTCCACCTAAACATAGCTCTGTTTCGTAGAAATACGTCCAAATATATCTTCACTTGTAATTGGACGTATTTCTACCAAACGGAACTATAAGCATTAAGACATGAGCCCTGAGACCCATAAGAATATTTGCGTAACAGGGCTCACGTCATAATGCACATAGTTCCGTTTGACAGAAATACGTCCAATTGATTGGTAATAGGTTAAAATGTCCAAAAAAGAATGTCCAGAAGTCAAAATGTCCAAACCTTGAATGCCCAAAAATTTAAAAAGGCCAAATATCAGTAATGTCCAGCAGATAAATAAGTCCAAAAGTAGGCAAATGTCCAAATGAATGGAAAGAGTAATTATATACTAACTGCTTTCATGGCTGCTTTTTTCGGCTTTAAATGACAAACGGGGTAATATTAGCCATGTTTGTTATGTTTGTCAATATCACTTAAAATTTGGAAAATAAATCAATAATGCATTTTTAAAAGTAAAGAATTTGCTTGCTATCATGAAAAATTTGATCACCACTTTTTCCTAAGGTGCATCTTTCCATTATCCAACGCACCTGTTTCTATGGCTGCATTCACAAGTAGCTTGCAAACCTGCACCCAATAATCCAGTGACAACTCAACCAATGCCTTATCTCGCATTTGGACATTTGCCTACTTTTGGACTCATTTGTCTGCTGGACATCACTGATATTTGGCCTTTTTAGATTTTTGGGCATTCAGGGTTTGGACATTTTGACTTTTGGACATTTTTTGTTGGACATTTTGACCTATCACCAATTGATTCGTTTTACGCCAAAAATTAAAAGAGAATGTAAAACCAGTGTTTCAGCCCGCTACTGATTCACCTTAAGGTGATGAAATATAAGAACGAGGGTCAAGACATGCCCGTATGTTGCACTGCTGGATAGTCTGTTTGTAATATCACCGGAATTTAAACTTTATTGCGAGGAACTGATCCATAACAATGTTGCAACATTATCGCTTTCAGTCATCATGTACTTAGTAATTCACGGTCACTTACACAGAATCCAATGGAACTTCGAGGTATTGACAAGGGACCTCAAAATCATTTCAAATGCTCTCAAACGCCAGCGTTTATAACAAAAATAATTGTTGAGCAGAGAGAAAACTCCGTGACTCAAAGGTCTATCACGGTATAGCAGGGCATATTTGCGAATATTCATTGAAAATTACATCGACCGTAAGGAAACCAGACGTCACTAATTGGCTCAAAGTGTGAGAAATGGAGAAAAAGAAAGAGAGAAAGAGATGAAGCAATTAGATATCTCTCTAAATTACGTATTGAGTCAATGAGCAACGAGTTTCTCTATGTTACAAGTACATTTTCGACAATGGCTTCACAAGTTTGGTGTCATACTACTCAGTATTAATGCTGCTAAATGTTACTGATCAATATCTTGTTTTAATTTGAATATTACGAGAAAAAATAGAATGACGAGAGGCACAGAACGTGTGCACCAGGTTAGTTAGCAGACGACGCGACGTTTGCGCCTCCGATAGTTCACTTTTGTTCTTGTGAACAGCCGAGGATTGGCCTCAGGACATTTTCCCTTGTACTCTCCGACTCTCACGCGGACTTTTGAGGCAGAGCTATTATTTTTCCCGCGAATAATAAAATTGTTGCTTTCAAAGACACAGATCGTGTATCAACGTCACGTAGTGGCACATCTTGCCCAGCTGGTATGGCAATTTTGACTGCAGAGTTGCTCTGCCGTGCGAAGGAAGAACGCCATATGAGCCTTCAGACGTTGCCAAGTTTCCATCGATACAAACTGAATTTACTGGGAAAATTGTGAATATTTGTTTCCGAAAATTTCAAACAATTTAGTACGCAATTTAATCTAGAACATCTGAAAATTTCAAAAAAAAATGAGCATGAATGTCGTCAAAAGTACATGTTTAATCAGGGGAAAATCAGGGCAACTCTCGAATGTTCGTACGGCGTTCTTCTTTAACACGGCAGTGCCGAACTGTATAAACGCTGAGTTGAAGTGATTTTAATTCTGTGTATGTTATCAAGTATAATATACAATATCAGTACGCAACAAATTAAAATAATTGACAAGCAACTTTTGAAGGACGAGGAGATAATTCGGCGATTAAGTTTAATTTTGTGCAGAATAGGGCGTTATGCTGCGCGTTTAAATCCGACGATTTTGAGCCTCAAGCCTAACGGATAGATGAATTCTAATGTGCTTTGGTCACCAATTCGATGGTTGATCAATCAATTGATAATTTCCGAATTTTAGGACATTTCTCCACAAATATCCGATTATTTATGAACAAGATGATGAACATTTCGGTGAGAAATCCACTCTTTTTGGAAAATCACATCCTCCACAGGAGAGAAAAATCTATATTTTTCAGACAAATCAGCCGTTATTACATTGCGGATTTTGCCCAAATCATTTCCTACGGCAATCTGCGTTTGAGTACTTCTGGGCGAAAGCTTCCTTGAGTGAGGAGCTTGATTTCAAAGTACTTGAGCTCATCTGTTGCATTATGATGCACTAAAATGCTGAATAAAACCTCTTAACTTCACATGTATAGTTTACTGCTTAAATTGCACTTTCCATTGAAAACAACGCGAATATTTGTAAGTGGCGAATTAGCTCCTAAGATTGAAGGGAGGAGAGCCTGAAACTTGCAAACTGGATCACTTTCTCTCTCTCTTTCTGCTGTTTTCTTTTCTTCATCTTCAATTCTTCATCCTTTCATTTCGTCTTCTCTTCCGTATTTTTCTTCGTTTGTTTCTCTTCTTCTCATGTTGCCCTCTTGGGTACTCATTTTCCAAGGGGAAAGGTATTTTCTTTTCCTTTAATATTCCCTCTTCGTGTCTTCCTCCTTCTCCTTCTCCTTCTCCTCCTCTTCCTCTTCCTCCTCCACATCCTCCTCCACCTCCTCTTCTACCTCCTCCTCCTCCTTCGTCTTCTTAATAAGTTTGGGAAGCTACAGTTCTGTGTTAAAGACCTTATTTCATTACATAATAATGTATGTATCATTTGCATTATTCTACAGACGGCCGTTTTTGGTCTTTGGAATGAATTACCAAAGAGAAACTCCTCAGCTTACCTCCAATTTCTTAAGGGGGAGGGAGATGAAACAAATGACTTTCATTGTTTTATTCACAGATTTTTTACTTGTGGTCTCCTTTTTCAAAAACTTTTCAACGAAAATTTGCCTATTTTGCAATGCAAAAGTTGGTGACAGTTGAAATTTTAAAATTTTAATTGATAATGTGGTTTATTTTCGACATTAGAAAACGGGTTTAGAGATATCACGTTTTAAATTTTGAAGAGCCGAAACTTACAAAACACCTCACTTGCTCTTCATCATAATTGCGCAACTAACGCTGGAAGAAAATATGAACACTTGGGTGGGGAAAAAAATTCTCAATACATGGCGAACTGGGTATTTATTTTTTCCAAATCCCACTGATATGAGAGCAACAACGTTTTTGGATTCTGAATAAGATTAGTAAAACTGTCTAAATCTCGAATTCATCATTATTTGGTCATCCAGTGATCCATTTGACCGATTTTCGTAACTTTTTGGACATCTCATGAAACTGATAATATAACACCACCGCGCTTCAACTTCATATTATTCATTTATTTTCAACCAAAACAAAGCACATCACTGAGCGTTCTGAGTGCCTATCGAGGGTTGACTTGCGTGGTCAAGTGTTTGACACCTACTAACTGCTCTTGCTTCGGCTTGTTCTCGATAAACTTGGACTTGGTATATATTTTCTGACACCACTCGGAAGATCATCTACTTGCAAATCTACGGACTTTCCATCAACCCTTAACTTAGTGATTTCATCTTCTGCTGTCATCTCCTCCCATTTTCGTTGATCTATTCCGTGCTTAATGCCATAGTTTTCCCGCCTTTTTTTGATGTATGCCAAAACGTCCTCGCCCGAGTAGAAGGTAAAAGTCCTGAGGTCTCCAAATCTGAAGCGTCCGTAGCCGAACCGAAGGAGCTTCCAGAGCCTCAGGAGGGCAGGCCTCTTCATTCCATTATTCATCATATAATCATTAAAAGCCTTTGAACTGGGACAGGAGCACCAATAGCCAGCGAGCCTGAGCTTGCCGACGGAGACCGGCTTCACCAAATTGTCATCCCTGAAGAATCCATCACGAGCGTAGCAAGAGTATCTGCACCTATGAAGGTTCCCCTTCTCTGCCCACGCTGCAAAATTAGGCGGGAGCCCCAAGTAAATACGAGACTTTTTTAAGAATTTAATTTATTCATATTTTTTTTTAAATTTATATTTTTTAAGAATTTTTTTAAGAATTTAATTTATTGTAATTTAGTGGATTGGAATTTTTACTAGTTGAATTATTCGTACATAAGTATGTATGTTTGTGTGTGGGAGGGTGTGTGCATAGGTGTTTCAAGCATGTATATGAGTCGCTTTTACAACGCCACTGGGCGATCCATCAACGCCCTTGAGAATTTAAACAAAGGTTGTTCGGCAAATAAAATCTTAAAATTTGATTTTGAATGCCCCATGGCCATGGTTTAGCTGGGCATCCCCATGAGTGAAGCTAGTGAGAAGCCGGAGGAGAAAGAAAACATGACCTCCCCTGATAAATATGTAAGGGATTTTTCTTTAAAAAAGGGATGAAGTAGTCCTTTGACCCCCTACTAAAAGGTTCCTAGTTCCACCTACGAGTGTCCCCTATTTTTATTTCCGGGAAGAACTCAATTCGATCCCCTTTTAAATCAACCTGTCATCTGCCATTCTTTAAACATGATACCGCAAGATATGTATATTATTCTATATCTCTTCATCTATATTACTAAAGGTTGTTAAATATTTTCTTTACATTTATTAATTTAATATATTTATAGGCACTGTTTTATTGGTACAGCACTTAAATATTATTAACTATATTATTCTACCTCTTCTTCTCTATTACTAATGATTTACAGTGTTGATTTCATGGACGATGGTCTGCGTGGTCTCCATTATCTCATAGACAATTTCATTTCTCAAATGACCTCTTCTCGAGATTACGACTCATTTCTTCGGAATTTTTAAGGTGGTTATTAAAAACCAGCAGGGAATTGACAGCTGCCGTTTGGGGCTCTCAACCTTCAAGTACTTGAAAAAGTTTCTCCACGGCAAATTTCACTATTTAATTACACTAGGAAGGAGGGGGGGGGGGTCATTACTTCACTGTCGAAGCACTTCCCGCCTCACTCGTTATGGGTTAAACTTTACTCTTATGATTTTATATTAAAGAGTGACACGACTACTCCCAGTTTTGAAGTTGTATCGCGGTAATGATACATGTAGTATTGGATGTGTAAAATTAGATTTTTCCTAGTTTTGACACTAAAAAAGCTAACTTTTTCAATGAACGTGATGCATTTTTACTATGAGTGTAAAATTGGTCGTCCATCTCCCTTTAAAGTTTGCCTCAAATATATCACACGGCCTCATGTATTTGTATTAAATAAGTGAGAAGTAGTAATACGCTTTGCGCTCATAGACAAAGGGTAACATATTTTTCGAAGAATTATCTAATTTCAGATAGAAGATCAATCTTTGGACACCAATTCAACTAATGCACCTTTATCATGTTACGCAACTTTAAAATTGAGCCATAACAGTTTAAAACAGTGATGCTAATTTGAAGTACAATATGTCGTTGCAAAGACAGAAGGAAGTACCTACCTAAATTGCAACGATCCAATCACAAGATTTCAAGAGTTTTCACTGGGAATTTGTATTTTTACTGAGAATTTGTATTTTGACTAGGAATACACTTATCTGACTATAAGATTTAAGACACTATAAGACTTATTTTATTAAACGCCTATATAACGAATGTCTTGAGACTCACTTCAAATATCAGAGCAATTTTTGACTGAAAATGCACTGTCAATGGAAATGTCAAGCAACTGCCACCACTTTTGTAACTGCGACCACTTAAGTGAAACATTGATTATGCAATCTTGGAATGGACATGCGTTCTTTTATCTTAGAAGAATTTGCTGCATGGTAGTTTTCTATGAGATTTTCACATATAGGGACTTAATGGCAATATAGGAACCTGGCCTTTGAGAATTTGACTATGAAAGAGACTAAAAGTGGCCACAAAGAGATCCTGCAGTGACCAACGTCATTAATTTTTGCAAGAGCACCAACAACCATCGACTGTAATTCGAGGGTTTTTCAAAAAGGATTTTCCAGAGCTTCAGGTTTCAGTTCGGGAACAGTTCAGGGAACAGTTCGATAACCAGTGACGATGAACACTAAATCAATAGTAGATGAGGAAGAATGTTTGTCAGGAAACTGGTGTGATTTCAGGTTTAGAATATGCGTTAAATTAGTATAAGAGATAAACAGTGCTAAAGGTATCATGACAGGTGCTGTTATGCCTACTATCAGTGAATAACGTACATGGGTGGTATCAATCACAAAACTCACTGCGTAGTTCTCCAGAGGCGTTTTACTTATTTTCAGAGAGAGAATTTTAGTTTGAAATCAAGCTCTTCTCATTCGGGTTCAAAGGAGCTATAGTGAGTCGTTGTCTGATTTTTAAAATCGAAGTAATAGATCATCGTCCATTATCTTTGTCACTCTGATTTTATAATATTTTCTGTGGCGTGAATATTGCGCATTGAATATTTTTCTACACGTAAATACAGTATGTTTAAAAAATGTCAGTCCCCGACTGGAAACCAGTTTTTTAAGGCTGAAAATGAAATATATGAACCGCATTGTCTCCATTGTTCAATAACTGAGGAAATAGTATTAACTTCACGGCATCAGAGACGTTCAATCTCATCAATGGTGACAAAAGGCTCTTCCATTCGGATAAAACCTTGAGTCTAAAGTCACCGCCATCACACGAATTATTAGAGACTTTTTTTTTTCTTTACTTCCATTAATATTCTTTTTTAAAAATAGAACAGAGTTGAAAATTTTGAAATCACACCCAGGAAGTACGCATTTCTGTGGTTTCATCGTGAATGCAGAAATATTATTTTATTATAGAAAGGACTCAAGTAAGATGAAGACTTAGAAGCAGCTGATACTAGTGCATACTTAAGGGCATCTCATGGATATTTTTAAAATTAAAATGTCAAACCGAGCCGGAATTATGACATAAAAATTATTCGTGAAAAAAAAAATGAAAATCAGCTGCGCAATGTTTGTTTTGGACTCCTATGCTTGGGGCTCAAAATCGTCGGCTTGAAATGCAACTTTGTGCCCTCTTTGGGCACACAAATAAACTAAAAGTTCGCAACTTCATTCGGGGAGAAGGGATTCTGTAGACGAACCGGGTTCCCAGTTCCCGACTCAACCTTACATAAACCGCTCGTCGGAAAAAATTTCTTCAGTAGACTGAGGTCTCCAGTTCTGTGCGGAATCGCCACGTTCATTTCATGAATGGGTTTTGTGAGGTTGAGTGCTGTAAAGGAAGTAACTCATCTATGCCTACTGAATGCTGCGCTTTTCATGACTGCTATAAGACGAACGCTTTTGTCACCTAACTCTTCTGATCATCAGTTGACTTGATTAATTACTTTGATAATAATTTTTACCTGACATTCTTATCTACCTTCAGGAAGTACTAAACATTTTTTTAAGATTGACTGAATACTTAACACCTGTATACTTTCCACGCTTTTCATGCACTGTTATAATGATGGAGAACTCTCCCGAATGCAACGGTACTATGTAACGATTTATTGGAATAAAAAATGCATCTTTGACACTTTAATTTTTTTTTTTTTTTTAAAAAAAATACTAAACCCTAAAATTTTAAATTCTAAATGTTAATCTCTGTCTTATTTCACTACCTCTTAAAAACTTGTAATCAAATGTTTAATTCCAGAACTGAAATAAAATTCATAGAAAAAAATTATTAGGTGTTAATTTAACCAACAATTTTGAAGTAGATGTTTTACTTTAACATTAACCTGATCGATTATATTAAATAATTCATCTAGCGTAATGCGTTTAAAATATCCATAAAAGGCTGTTTGTGACAAGTTACCTGAATTTTTCTGCCCGACGAACAGAACGAACAATAAAAAGAGACTACACGATGTGCTAAACCAAGGTCCGAACATGTCTGGATCGGTTGAATGACAGGATGCTGAATTACTTGAGGGAGTCCGCTTCATCCGGACTTTTACTCGCACATGACGCTTTCAGCGGCCTTGAATGTCACAAAAGCTGACGTGTCGTGCATGGAGCACCGTACGTCAGTCTCGGGACGATCTACGTTCCGAAAACCTGGATGAGTAAGTTTCTCGATAGTTAAAAGCTCAGAGTTGACTTACGCACTATTATTACCGATAGGCTGAGCAAAAAACGGGGTTTTTATTGGACGTTTCCTCGTTGACAGCATGTCGGTGAGTCCCAGCAGAAGTGTGGTGTGGGATCGGAAAATGGAGAGGCTGAAACCTGCCAACTACATAATTTCATCTCTGCTTCTGTTTCTGCTTCTTTATCTTTATCGTTGTCTCTACCTCCGCCTTCATCGTGCTCTCTCCTTTGTCCCCTCCTCTCTTTTTATCATTTTACTTCTTCTTATCCCCGATTTCTATTTCTTCTTCTCCTTCTCCTTCTTCTATTTTATTTTTTGGGTAATTTTCTTCCATCTTTTCCTTTGCTTTCCTTTTATTCCCTTTAAATATCTCCTTAGAGTCCGAATAAAAAATGATTAAAAAAGGGGAGATAATGGCTGCCTCTTTCTCCTATTGCTCTCCAAAAGTCCTCCCGATTTCTTTCTCCTCTCTTCCCCTCTGTTCCTTTTTCTGTATGTATGTGTAAGTCGCTTTCACGACGCGCTAGGGTGCTCTACGACGCCTACCCGCCACAGGAATTTGTCGTGGTAGAGATCATCTGGAAGCTGGCATCTCTCCATCTCTTCCTTCTTTTACTTCTTTAATACTCTTCTTCCTTTTCTATGTATACTCAATATTGCCTTCTTTTTCCTTTAATTTCTTGTTCATTCTCCTCGGAGATAAATAACCATTACCCTGAAAATGATTATATTAGATTATAACAATAAGTTCTACCTACTTTTCTTGTTGTTATTACAATACCACTTTAACGGTAGCAATCCTCTCGATCCCGGTGAGAAAACTGCACTGGGGGATTAAAATAATTGGAATGCATTTTAAAAAAAGGAACCAAGAGCATTCCAATGTTGCTGGGATTGTGCAACATACATGCTTTGCAATAAAATTACTAAAATAACGAAACAAATCAGATTTGCATACGTGATTTTCGTCTTGAATTCATAGTTTACCGAAAGTAAAGATAAAATGTTATCGATGATCGGTTTATATTTGCAGGGTGAAGAGAGTTGCACAATCTTAGCGACACTGGAATGCTTTTGGTTCCTTTTTGCAAAATGCAATCCTTTTTTCATCACAAAAGTAATATTGCAAGCAAAGGAGGTAGGGCCTTGAATCTAGTATGGTCAATTGTGGAGGTAAGGATTATTTTTCTCCGTGTGCGACCCGAAGTTGAGATCATATGGTCTCTGAAGTTTTCTGATCACGCATCCGAAAACTTGAGGTCGAGCTGCCGAAGTTCGGGTCAGACATCGAGGCACTTCGGTATGCACCTAAGTACTTCATATAAGTGACCCGAACCCTTCGGTATATATTGAAGTACTTCAGATGTCTGATCCGAACTTCGGCAGATGGACCTGAATGTTTTAGATAAGTGATCCGAAAACTTCAGAGATCCATATGACCTTAACTTTGGGTCCCACGCACGAAGTTTTTTTCTCCGTGCGCTCTTGCTCGGCTTTGTGATATTTTAATCCGGAAAACACAATTTAACACACCATTTTATTCCAGTATTGAAGCTTTATGAGAGAGCTGTCTCGGTTTCAATTGGACGTATTTATGCTAAAATGAGCCATGTGCATAGGATTTGCGCACAACATAGGTCCTTTCAGCATAAATACGTCCAATTGGCTCGGATCGGACGAGAGTTCGCTCGGTTTACCGTTCAGTTTCAAACATAACGCAAAAGGCTAGCTGCCCGCCGCTTTCGACCGAAGGTGCCAAGTCTAAGAGTTGCATTCACAGCCATTTCTTATAGTCATGTTGAAGGCAAATAGTCAAAACAGGCATTTGTCGAATGCCCAGGTAAATAGTCAAATATTCTTACTTAGATTGAAATTTTGATTTTTTACCCTAATTTTAGACAAAATAAGTCGTTGCCCCTTTAAGAAAGAATTATCTGTAAAAATATGCAGCATATTTAAACGATTTTAGGATCCTGAATGTTCATTTCTCATGAAATTTTCAGGACGCCATAAAACATAGAATTTTTAAAATTGTAACATTTAAATGTACTAAAGGCATTCAAAAAAGAAGGAACAAGGAGATTTCGCGTATTTGAAGAGTTATTCTTCCCGAAATATTGAAAACCCGCCAACTCCTCGCCATGAATTTACAGAATTCCATAAACTGTCAAAATTTAACTACCAGTCTAGGAATTTGATAAAATGCCTGAATTGACTAATTGCCTTCGACATACACATGTCTTTTTTTAAGGAGGCTTCCTGTGATTGACATTAAGTTTAACCGAGGAGGCTTTCAGCAAGGACAATTTTCCCGACTTTTGGAGGAAATTTAACGGTAGAACTATGGGGATTCGTCCTTGTAAGAGATTACAATGGTTTGATACTACAAAATTATAAAATGTAGAAAAAAATCTAATGTTTGTCTCATAATTGAATACATGTATTAATACAAATCTTATAATTTGACTACATTCTGCAATTTGGAGCTACATCTCTGGCTTCTGCAAGAACACATTAAATTGAACATTGTGCTCCGCATGTGCACAAAGAAACTAATGGTACTTACGTTGTTTCTAAACTGAGCTACAAATTGTAGTTCTCAATTGAAAAATGCAGTCCAATTATGGTTTCAACAACTTTTATGGTAGACTCGAACCAATATATCTTAAAATCCACTATAATTCCAATATATTTTCATCCATATTTTGTATTTTTATAGTAATGAATCATCGTAAACCCTTTCAAGGATCCATTTCCAAATAATGTTGAATTATACCCGATATTTCCAAAAATCATATTTTTTAAGATTCCATGTTCAGGAACTTTTTGAACCTTCCTCAATGGATCAGTTGCGCAGGTCACAAAATCGTGTTTTGATGCTTGATTATCGCATGCACATCAGCCAAAAATATTAAGATCCGTCTAAACAGCTACTTTCTATGTTAAATATCAACCGAGATATCGCGCTTGGAAAATTTCGGTTTATGACGTCATCCACTAAGGTAGTAACACCCTAGCTGTCTTCCACCTTACTTTCATCCGAGTTACACGTTGAGAAACCAGTGCAAATGTGCGTCACGCTGACTAATGAAAGCAAGCTGTAAAAAACCAAGGGTGTCTTTACCGCGGTGTATGACTTGGATTGCATTTTGCAAAAAAGAACCAGAAGAATTGCAATGGTGCTAAGATTGTACATTTTTATAATTTGCAATGAAATTACTGAAACTATGAAAAAAATATGAAATTTACGTGGTAACTTTTGTCATAAATTTAAAGTTTTTAGCGCGAGAAAAATAGAAACTGTTAATGGATAATCAGGCTTTTCTTCCAAGACAAAAGAAACTGCATAATCTTAGCAACATTGCAATGCTCCCGGTTCTTTTTTGCAAAATGCAACCCACTTCATGAATCGAATTTTTCAAAGCGCGATATCTCGGCTAATATTCAACGCAGGAAGTTGACCTTTGGACGGATTTTATTTTTTTAACTGATCCATAAGATTTGAGCATGAAAACACATTTCTGAGACGATCGCAACTAACCCATATGAGGCCTTACCTCTAACAGTGGCGGATGTGAAAAATTATCTTTTCGAAACACGCTTAAAAAACTATTTTGTTCACACACAAATTTAATATGTTTGGCTCTGGCATAACGTACAGAGCTCGAAGATCACACCTTCCGTGTTTTCTCAAAATTTTCTCGACGCCAAAACAGTTTTTTGAATGTGTTTCAAAGAGGTAATTTTTCACATCCGCTATTGTTACATATCGACGGTGAAACTACCAAACCACGTATCTCGGTTTGCGACGTCGCAGACTTCCTGTCATACTTTATTTTTTAAATGAAAAACTACTCAACGTCCAGTCTTGAAAATTTCTGTGATTTTTCCTCTTCGTGCGGAGAAACTTATGTGAAAATTTCAAGGAATGATATTGATTTGGTCTACTTCAAAAAAATAAAATGCGAGCATAGATTTTTAAACACCGCAAACGAGATACGTGGTTTGGTACTTTCACCGTCGATATGAGTCCTCATATATTGCCAAAGCATAGGGCCTCCAGCGGGAAAACACTGTGTGAGAATAGGTCAATGAATACGACCCGAGATCTTTCAACGCCGCGTGTCTTCGCGGTTATTATTGAACGGTGCAAATGACAGGTGAAACCACAGAATAATGCTCCACCGCAGAAACCCCGATCCCTGCCGGAGGGCAACGGGAAATAATAAACGATTCCGCTTTGAATTTTAAATCGCGTCCCTCGGAAGCCAGGCCCACGTTCGCTGCCGAGGAAAACACTTTCCACGGAATTTCGGAGTCGGGTGGGTTTTGCGGTTTTTGCACGGAAGCGTCCGACGCGGCTGCTAAAATCCTGACTTTGTCCTCATGGGCGGTACCGAAAGTCGGACTTTATGCGACGCAACAATCGGAGCCCTGATCCCGAAGAGAGCAGTGCTACCGCGCTATGGAAAAACGTCGTATGAACCTCCAGCCGGATTTTCAAAGGAATCTGTGAATAGTTTTTGGTAAGGAAAGTGCCATGGATCTAGGACATCGATGAAATGAGTGCTATAATGTTATAGCATTTCGGTCATATAATCATACGGTGAAATGAGGGTGATGGACATCTGAGAGGTACGTATCAAAAACAAAGTGAAGAATATTTTTTTGACTTATTTTTTTATTTATTTATTTTTTTTTTCGCTGAAAAAAAGTTTTTTTTTGATTTGAGGATTTTTTTTTTTGGCTGAAAAAGAAATTCTTGGCTCAAAGAAAAAGTTGTTTGAGTGAAATAATTGTTTTACTTGAACGAAGCTGCTTAACGAAGCTGTTTTTCTTGTTTAAGAGTCTTCAAATGACAAAGTTAATTCGTTTTTAATTTAAAATTTCTTTCCGATTTGACCAGAAAAAAAAAAAAAAACCTCTCACGTAAAGGACCGTTGGTACCCAAAGAAAAATGCTGTCTGTGTTCGAGCCATGCAGCTTTACCGCAGGATGTAATCCTTCCATGCTGAGAAAGAACTTCACTCGAATGTTTTTAAACTTTTTCAG